TCGTATCGCAAAATTAAAAAGTCATTCGAACAAAGTATCAATTAATTATTACGATGTACAAATTTGTACTTCGGCATAAACATATCCTTACACGATCCTAATTACACGATACGGTACGGTATATTATTTAACACAATTCGCTTCCGTGTACCCGCGCTTTTAATGAGGCCACTAAATTTCATTCATGCTCTGCAAATCCTAGTTCGGTTTCAGTCCTTTTATCGCTCATCGACTCGATCGCGATATTTATAATTCACGCGATTCGTTTAATTCCGTATCTTTTTTTTCTTTCTTTTATTTACGATTAATGCGAGCGTTACGAACTCCGAGAGAACGAACTCAAGAATTCCACGCGCCCATTTGTCTGCCGGTGCGTCAAGCTCGCGATATTTAGGAGCTGAGGAATCGAATCGACATAAACAGCGAGAGCAGTACATCAGGCGCAGGTAAGAAGCGTAATGGATCGGGGGACAAAGTAGATGTTGCTCAATTGACAAAGCGATCAATTGCCGGTAAGAAGTCCGACCGATCTACAAGCTTGCAACTTCGTTGCGCCATACGTCGATTCAGCTACGCTTGTTCCTTTTGCCGCGCCCCCTCCCCCCACGGCGACCCCCTCACATAAAGCGCGCAGGAAAGAAGCCAGCGCATTTCAGATTATATACCAGTGAAATTCCAGCGGAAGATCCCGCCGCGTTATTTATTTCACATACCTGTTTCACTGAGACGTCTTGTCGGGTCTCGTCTCTTATTTTATTTACGTATTAACGGGACTGCAAAAAAGCGCACAATCGCCGACGACGTCGGGGATGTTATGGCGAAAGCGGAGTTCTGCGCCTCTCTGTTTCTCCGAAACGAATCGCTCATAATTGCGTTTCGATAAGCTGCTTACGGTGCACCCTCCCCCCAGCCCCTGTCTCCAACATCCCCACACAGTCATACGGGTACGCATGACATGTCGCATCTCGCAGATTCGCAATTAGCTCGGCGCACACACGCCGACGTGATAGGCCCTATTTCGATAAAGCGCACAACGCAGGTAGCGCGCCGTCTAATTTTCCGATTCGGAGATATCCGGACAAACATTTGCATCGGAATGCCGCGCCGGGGCGGAGTACCGCCGCGGGAGATTTTCACGCGCCATTTCCCCGCGATCCGCCGCGTTACTGTCCGTTTAGCGACCGAAACGTATCGCCGCCGAGCGCTCGACGATCGCCCGCGAATTTCGATAAAAATCACCCTCGCGCCCTAAATTGCAACACCGCGGAGTCAGCCACGTAGGAAGATCACTTTACAGCACGTACGCGTGCGCGCGCGCATACATGTGTGTGTGTGTGTGTGTGTGTGTGTGTGTGTGTGTGTGTGTGCGCGTGCGCGCAGATGTATCAGTTCTCGTATAATTAACGATCGACGACGAGCACGAGCAAGCGCCGGAAACTCGCGTCGCGTGAATCATTTCGGCTCGAATTTTACGAGGCACCCGGGAGAGCGCAGCCTCTTCGCGCTCCCCTCACCGCGCTTTTTATTCAGAGGCACTCTTTCCGTCGAAAAGTTAATTGCGCCTGTTCCCGCCCGTTCCTGCCTGTTGCTCTTATTTTTCTCGCCGCGCCTTCGCTTCGGCGCGCAACAAACGCCTATGCAATTTTCGCGGCTTTCCCGCCGGAAACGCGCTGCGCGATGTTTCGGGACGTGGGGGTAAGGAAGAGAGAAAGAGAAAGAGAGGGAAAAAGAAAGAGGGAGAGAAGAGCCGCTTTGCTCCATCCATCGCGTTTCTCCGCTTCGGTGTGAATGGGGCGAAAATAAAGAGCGAGCGCGCCGTCGAAAAATTTCGTCGAATCGCGGAAACTCTGCGAAACTGCGCGCTGAAGGAACGAACATTCCTTTCGTTTCTCTCTCACGTTTTCCCCCATTTTTCTTTTTCTTTTCCCTTCTCTCTCTCTCTCTCTCTCTCTCTCTCTCTCTTTCGTAGCATTTCCGTGCGAAGTTCGTTACGACACGTCCGCGAAACGGGACTTTTCTTCGCGCGTCTTTCGCGGGCATTTGCACAGAGTCGTCGCTTCCTCGTCTCCCTGTCGGCGCATTAAAACGCCTCACTTTTGTGCTCTCTTAACGCACTGGGTGGACAAGCCCCGAGGAAGGAGACTGAAAATCGCGAGGAAAAGAAGGGTGGGACGGGGGTGAGTTTCTCGGCCGCGCGTCTAATTAACGTGGTTAACTACGCCCGCTCACGAAAGATCGGCCGACGGCGTTTTCATTAGCACGTAATCGCGCGAGATGGATATTTTCGCACCGAGAGAAAGGCGACATGGCGGAAAGAGAGGAGGGGTTGGAGGGAGGGGGGGCGGTGGGACAATTGCGTGCACTCTTGATGAATCTGCTCGCTTTCTACCTCTCGCGGCTTTAACTCGCGCATGGAGAGCGACGCTCCCGCAACCACCCGACGGAAAGGGTGAGCTTCGCATCGCAACCCCTTCCTCTCCCCCCGCTCCATTCCTTCGCTAAGTGAAGGCTCACCTGTCAGTGGAGTCGCCGGGCGTGTCGAGAACAGCGTAGCGCGCGTAGTCGCGATGATCGTAACGGTGAGTAACGTCCGTTAAACGCCAGAAACAACGTCGGCGGGGGGGGGGGGAGGAGGGAGAGGTTATATCCTGCACGATGTGTCGCGAAACTTTTACTTTGATGTCATTAGCGCACGGCGGAAAGGGGTCTGCAGCGACGGCGATGGCGACGGCGACGGCGGCCCGCTACGGAGCATCCGTCCGTGCTAACGAGGCAACTTTTTGAGCAAACCGGCGCGCACGGATAATAAAACCCGATACTTTCAATTACACGTACAATTAACAGAAGCCCGGGGCTTTTTTAAAGGCCAAACAACCGACGTCGATTAACTGCGCCGTTCAATTATACCGTACGACTGATCGCGCGCGTCGTAGCGTTTAAGAAATTGGCGCCGGCTCGGCTGCCGTCCGAGCGACGACGAGCCGCGCTTGTTATCAAATAATTAGCGACTCCGGCGACTCTCTCTCTCTCTCTCATCTACCAAACTATCTCTGCTCCGCTATCGCTGCTCCTCTCTTCCGTTCCTCCGGCCGACTGGCCGGCCGGCCGGCCGACCGATTTAATCGATCGTAAGAATTTCAATTAGCGCCCACGGAGAAGGTCCGCTCGCTCCTCGAGCGAGGAACGCCTGGGACTGGCGCGGAACGACGAAGGGCGGAAAAAAGTCCGCTTCTCCTTCGAGGCAGGAAGCGAAAAGGGCGGGGTCGTTTGCGGTAAAAATGCTCGTGCAGAATGGAAGAAGAGTTTGGATGGTTTTCCTGCCGGTCGAAAGGGACATGGTGGACGAGAGGGGGGAGGAGTCGGGCAGGATGGCAAAGGGTATTACAGAAATTGAGGAAGCCGCCCGAAGGTGGACTCTCGTCCCATATCTAACGAGCTCGCCCATTATGACAATTGCATACGGGACTCTATAAAGTTAAACAAAAAACGAGGAAAGGGCGGTTGACAATTAAGCAACGCTCCTCTCCTCGCTCGTCTCCTGTCTGCTTCTTTTTCTCGGTCTCCCTTCTATCGTATAAAGAGAGAAAGAGAGGGAGAGAGAGAAAAAGGACACGATAGAGCGCGTCCGGCTGAAACGAGGATGCGCGCGTGTAACGCAACACGTCAAAACTCTTTGTAGTCAAGCATACAACGGGCTAGGATAAAAGTGCTATTAACTCTGTGCTATTAAACAAACCTCATATGTCGCCGCGATATTAAAGTGATATTAATGCCTTTTTCGCCATTTGCATGCAGCTGACAGTAATAAATACGAGTCCATTATGCGTTTATGGAAATTACGCGTACGTTGCATACGCCATGAAAGTGGAATAATTGAGTACGTAACGGATTGTCAATCACAGTTTGAATATTACAACAATCAGCGTGGACGCACATTGATTTGCCTATTCGGAGGCAAAGCTTTAAGCTCCGATATTTTCGCGCACAATGCGGATATCAGCTAATAACGAATATCGACTTGCAATAAATTGCATTATTACGAGTCTTTTAGTCGCCAATACGGAATATATCGCCGCCGCCGCCGCCGCCGCCGCTGGTGTTTAACGAACGCGTTTGCTTTATCGTCGCGATGATTGTTCGCGCTTGAGCTCGTCGACGGGAACCTCGCGCGAGGAAAAACCAAATTAATTGATTCACACACGAATAATGACGCGCTAAGGCCGATGCTTCCGCGCGCGCGAGTTTGCATTATTCACCTTGGTGATTATCACAATTCAAATTGTGATAATCACCGAAATGCAAACGACAGGGCCATCGATGCGTTGTGAACTCGAGACTCGCAGCCGATTCAAAGTCATACATCAAATAATACGTACGTAACGCTTCGAGTCGGCGGCTCGCGTCCCGAAAATATTAATTAAGAAGAGCCGAGAGAATTCTCGTTAGCTCGTGTTCTGATTGGCCGGCGAGCCGGCGTTGCTGTTGATACGTCTGCCAATTCTCCATCCTTCGAATTTTTCATCGAATCGTCGGACGTATTAATTTATTTACTTTCGCAAAACGTTCGCGCTCGGCGGTGCTCGCCTGTCGAACCGCCGGAAATCGGACGACCCGAGAGCCGCTTTAAATGACGTTGATTAAACGCTCCAGTCAGTTTACAGAGAGAAGATTCACGACGAAAATACACACAGAAAATACACGCGAGTGCCTGCCTTGACTCAAAGTAGGAAACGACCGGATCTTTCTAGAGTATGATTTCCTGATATATTCAAGCCGAACGGCTTGATAGACGAGAGGAATACGGCGGAATCCTGTCCAATGTTTCCTTCAGAATGTTAAAACAGACTTAAAATATCGAAGCGGAATTAGCCGAGGGAGGGGTGGGGCACGCTGAACAGGTCACTCGGGGAGTTGCGCGAGGAGAGAGCGCGAATAACTGATTCGCTTTCAATGTGAAAAGAACGGAAGAGACGAACAAAGCTCCGCGTTCTTGCTTGCAGAATGCGACTCCGTGTACGAGGACACAGACTGCCACGACGGATGCGTCCTAGCTAGTCCCGGATATCCCGGGCTATATCCGCCGAACATCCGTTGCCGGTACCTGATCACCTCTGGCCCGCGGATCTCCATCGCCATCAACTTCACGGCGGTGCTTCTTCCTTACAAGTAAGTGCTCATGGACGATTTCCCGCGACCGCCGCACCCACCGCGGACAAGATCCCAGCCCTCGCGGACGTTTCGCCGACGAGCTTCCGTTATTTTCGGCGGACATCCAAGATGAGACCCGCGTCGCGAGTCGGAATGCACGTTCCCGTCGCGCTCGATACTTTCGTTTTAACACACGTCACCTGAGAGAGAGAGAGAGAGAGAGAGAGAGAGAGAGAGAGAGACGCGAAGAGCTTTATTCACGCGCATATTGCTCAATCGCGCGGCCGACAACGAAACGACGTCGTGTGCAGAAGGTAAATCGAGGGAACGCACCTTTAAGCGAGCGCTCGAGGACGAAATGAGGACTTTTATTCGCAAACGTACGACCCGCAATATCGCGGCCATTTTCAAGCGTTCTTTCGACGTAACCATCGCGCACCGCGGAGACCACCACCTCGACTCTATACGCTCCTGTTACAAGCTGTTGCGCGATAAATTAAAATCCTGCCAAGAGAAGGAAAGAGGCAGAGCGTCGCGCGCGGTTAATTTTTCCGCCGGGCGTCGAGGCGCTCGACGCAACGGCGACTCGACGTGTACTCGCGGACGCGGTATCGAGAAAAAGTGGACGCGCGATGCGATTCCCGGATCCCGGATAACCGGGAGAAGAACGCGGAGGAAGAAGGGGGGAGTGGCAAAACTTAAGAGGCTAATCGTTTTCGATGGGAACAAACTTAAGGCTTAAGTGCGGCGTTTGTGCATGAACGACGGATGTGGCCGAAAATATCTCTAGATTCGCGACAAAATCGGAAATACTCGTGATGAAATAAAAATATGTGTCGATTGGATTTCTGACTCGCAGCATATCGCTGTTGACGTGTTCTGTGTCGTAAATTTCTTTCGGCGAAATATTAAAATTAAATGTACGAGATGCTTTCCGAGCTGAAATTTCGATTCCGCATTAACTTTGCAGATTTCGCCCAATAAAGAATTTGGAAATTAAATATATTTTATTACCTAAAATATTTATATAAATATTTAACAGAGCAAAATATTTAAATATTTAACAAAATATTAAAAATGTTATTTCGCTACGTTTTTATTTATAAAATTCTCAATGTGAGATAACGAGGTAATCAAATATATTATGTAATTTTACAAGGAATCTCAACGCGGAGGCACTTAACATCGAGTATTAGTTGCAAGATCAGGATAGAATAATCTGCAGTCTCCAATTCGGACGAAATCTGAAAAGTGTGAAACGGAATTCCAATTCGAGTCCCTCGAGAATGCACTCGAGAATCCCACACGAGCGCACAGATATGCGATCGATGTTTATCGCCGAAAAATCACCTCTCACCTTTCGCGACTTACTCGCCGGCGCAGAATCCGTCTTTGTGCTAATTTCCAAGCTCCCGCCCGGGGTGTTTCTTCCTCCGTTTGCCACTACCGTCGGCTCGGATTACATTAACGCGTTCCCGGGCAGAAATGAAAGAGCAGCCGGAGAAAGGAGGAAAAAAGCGAGATTTCAACTCCTTTTTTTGCAATCTTTAGCCCGGCTATTTTTAATAAAACTACCCGCTTAAACGCAACTCGGCTTGCATAACGAGCGCGCGCGGAACTCTCTTTACGCCATGTTAACCCCGCATGCATATAAATCATTTTCCGCTTTACCGAAGGATCCGCGGCCGTGTTTTCATGCGTAAACCGCTGCACTCTAGCTGTTTTTTTCGGCGCACGCACGTCTGCGCCCTCGCTGCGTCTCGCCAAAAACGCAAGCCGCAACAACGACCGCGAGAGACGTTGCGCGTTAGAAGGGAAATCAGCCGGTCCGGTAAGGATCCAGCGCGAGCGAAATGACGGGGAAACGGGTTAGCGAGAATTACTGTCAAACGCAGCCGTGCGCCCATTAGCATACAAATGCGCCCCTCACAGCCAGCTGAGCGAGATTCGAATATGATAATTAGATGACGCAAACGAAATCGTGCAGATAGGCGGAGAGTGAGTGACTCTCATTGACATTGCCGCACTCGAGCCGCAGTCGGCTCGAGATCGCTCGCCACTTCCTGAGGCTCGTCTAAACGCTGCTAAGAACCGTCGTGTCGTCGTCGTCGTCGTCGTCGACGTCGATGACGACGACAGTTAACGTACACACGTCTTAATGGCGGAACGACGAATAAGGGGAAACCAATTCCAAAGCGGTGCTCGATTCTGCAGTTACACACCCGCTCGTTCGCACCTACACACGTACACGTACACGCGCGGCGGCGCACAGGCGCACGTGGCGTGTACACGTGAACGCGAGAGAGCGCTCCACGTGAAATCCGGTCTACAGAAATGTCGTGAGTCAATATGCATTCGCTTTGCGCTTTGCCGAGACGGGGGGGGGGTAAGAGCCCATTTATGCGTGCTCGTACAGAGCCGCATGTGCGAATACGCGTATTTCGTCGCTTGATAATGCATCCCGCGTCTCGTTTCGCCGGATGTGTCAACAACAACCCCGCCACCCCCCGGAATCATCCGTCGTGCAATAAGAAAACGCCCGCTATTGTGCGCGTCTCGTATTACTTACCCTCCGCGACCCTTTTAAGCGCGTTACGCCATGATTATTACGAATGATGCCGAATTTGCGCATCGTGAGGGAAACTGGTTGTAACGAGGACAGAGAGAGAGAGAGAGAGAGAGAGAGAGAGAGCGAAGCGGAATACACGTTGCGCAAAACATTCGCGCAATTATGCGAGTCGCGAGATAAGATTCGAGCAATCAACGCAACGCAACGCGCTGCTCCAAACGCGGAGAGAGATCGAGTTCGACACGCAACGTCAATGTCTAACGTCGCAGTTAGACGCGTAATTCGCGTACTTTACGACGCTTCCTGTTATTTTGAAAAAAAAAAAAACAAAAGAATAACTTACTCCGATACACATAATAATTTGCTTCGGCTAGATTGCTCGCAATTTCGCTCGCAGTCTCGCGGAAAGCGCCGCGAAGCGTACGAGGCACCGCAGCCTCGTCCTGCCTATTTTTCCGGAAAATATTACTATCGGAATTAAACTGATCGCGCGAGCGCGGAAGGTGTTTCGCCCTCGTAACCGGCGACAATTCGTTCCAAATATTAACGCGGCCGGCGGAGGCGCTCGCGACAACAAAGTGGTCGACGAACACGTTCCGGGGAGATTTTTGCGCGACGCGGGAACGCGCGACAAAGACGAAGGAATGGCCAGGAAACACACGTTCGCGTAGTAGTAGTAGAAGACCGCGTGCGCGCTTCGCAGCAGCACTTGCTTTTTCACGGCTGCTGCCGTGTTGTTCTCCAAAGCCGGGCTGCTGACTTTTACGCCGGCGGTCGCGCAAAAGCCATTTCACACGGAGTCTCGCAGTCGCGAGCACACCGGCGACATTTCCGTTCCCTAAAGACGATCGTATTTTAAGCCACTCCTCCCCCCCCCCGCTCCTCACGTCGCTCGGCCGCTTTATTCGCACGTACAATAGTGCATACACAAGCTGGGCGGTAATATTAAAATTGACGGCCGGCTGATCGCACGAGGATTTCTCTTTACAGCCGATGCCAATCTCGCGTTCATCGACCGGACGTAGCCGGCGCGTAAATTTCTCGGCGAGTTTGCGCCTCTTATGAACAAAGCATATTACGACCGCTCATATTTATCGCATAAAATGCCGAGATAAAAAGATGACGAAAAAAGGGGGAAAAATCGAGAAAATGTGCTGAACGCATCGTCGAGACTACAATATGAAAAACCAAGTTGCGATATCTCATGATGCAAATTTAACGATTAATTCAATGCGACACACATATGTGCGCTTCATGAGTGTAATGAAAAGTATTGTTCCCATCAGCAGTCCTCTCACGTGGTGATGATCGCGAAAGTTCACCCAGCTGTATGAGATATGGTTAGCACGATCAAATGTCGAGCCGATCGCGGAATCCGCGCTCGCGCACGCGCGTGCACGTTTGCTTAGCAAACAGCAGTCGAATATTCAAATTCTAAACTGCACCGCGAAAAATTCGTCGCGTTTTCCGTTTCCCTTTCAGCCGCGATCGGCGCGGCGCGTTTCCTATCCGCGTGCGCGTAATCGCGCGACCTCGTCCGCGCGGAAAATACCTCGTTTTTTTCTGCGGCCGCATTTGCCTTTGCGGCAATAATAAACTGTATTTTCCGACAGGCTGCGGAGCACACACACACACACACACACACGTACCTCGAAAAACAAACGCGTGCGCAGTTACGGGCCACGTAACTGCCAATCACGGGGCCGGCGCACCGTTTCATCCCTCGTATCGAGCGGGCCGCGCTCCGGCAGATTTATCGCGACCTTACGCCTCGGCGTAGAATCGACGATTGCGAAAAGGGACAGAGCGTGCGTGCGTGCGTACGTGCGTGCATGCACGCACGCATGCGTTTGAGTAGTTTTTTCTCGCCGACACGGTTCGGCGCTCGACGCCACCTCGCGCGCGTCGCTTACCAGCCTGCTCGGAAACGGCGAGAGCGTATTTCTGCAATAGACGACCTGTGACCTTCGAATCGGGGGCGACCCGCGATATTCCGCTGACTCGAAATCTGTCCGCCGATATTCGGCCACGGTAGCAATACGAATGTTGACCAAAAAAAGAAAAAGAGAACAGAGATATCACAATCGTACTCGCAGAGTAGCGCAATCCCAATGTGTACGCGTACTTCGAGTTCCCTACGCTCTAGGCTTCAGTTCATCACTTTACGTGATTATTTTATCACGGTTATGTTTATCGAACAAATTCAATATGACCACGACTGACAATTATTATTCTATCAACAATTGTCTTTCCGCAGCGCGCGTGCGCGGAGTCGCTTCGCGTATTGCTAAACGAGTCGGCAAAACGAGCAAGACGCGAATGTTGCGCTACGATAATGAAGATTTGTGCCTTTTGCACTATTTACCTTCGTCAGTTCTGCCAGCGACGTTATTAACGAGATAACGCTGGCGTTATCTTGCGGACTTTATACCCACGTTATAGAATATAC